TTTTCTTGGCTCTCAAAATGTACTACACATGTTGTACTTTGCCCGTGGCTACTCAAACTTGTTAACTTTTATTGTTGTTGGTTGGAGCGCTTGTACATTAGGGTGGTCTAAACGTGCGATTGTTTAAAATGTGGGGCTCTCACCCCTAGAATTTTTCTAAATGGAGAAAAGAATATTCGCTTAAAAAAATAAAAATTATATTTAGATCTGCATCAAGGCTCTTGAAGTTTTCCAAGTATTTTATATTGGAAAAAACACTTTTTCGTAGAAATGATATAGAATTTTTGAAAATTAATATTTTTCGATCGGAAAACTTTGATTCTCTTTAGGAGACTTACAATGATAATACCTGATTGTTCATTAATCCGTTTTTTAATATTAACTATTTTCTATAGGTCCCTCAAAAACCCAAAAAAAATAATGCAATGGTGAGACCCAAAAAAATCATGAGTATTAAAAAACGGTTAAAAAAAACAATTGGTTATTATTATTGGAAGTCTCCTAAAGAGAAATAGAGTTCACCGATCGAAAACTATTGATTTTCAATAAATCGATACCATTTCAAAAAGCGATTGTCTCCATATAAAGTATGTAGATGGAAAACTTCATGGGCATGAAGGCAGTTCTAAATATATATATTTTTTTTAACAAAAAAATACGTTATTCTTTTTACCGTTTAGAAAAATCCTAGCGGGTGAGAGCTTAATATTTTAAAAATTTATTCGGGCCACCCTATTGTGCATACATTGTGGGTATAGAAGTGTTGATGATGTCGGGAGTGCCTTGGTACTGGTGTAAATAGTTCCAAATGGAAAGTAAAATGTAGAAAATTTCTGAATAAGCTTCCAAAATCAAAAAACAAAAATTATACAGTAGTTACATATATCGATGGTCCTCTGCAATAACGACACAATCCAAAATTCAAAAATGAAAAGTCTTGCTACTGTGAAGTGTCTTAAAACTCTAATCCTTGTCTAATCCGCGTTTTGTCCTTACTAAAGTAAGTGCTAACGACAAATCGTTACACCCTAATAAACGAATGACAAAACTGTCTACCTTTTTCTGATGAAAATGAACGATTTCCAGAAGCCATCAGATACAGATAACAGATTAATTAAGCACCAGAGTTAATAAGTGTTAAGAGTTAAGAGTTATCACCGATGATATACAAAATGTTTACTAGTATTTGATTGTTTTTCGTAGGTTTGCCTTCAACAATTGGGCGCAGGACAGTAATAGAATATCTTCATGCGACATATAGTGAGATTGAGACGGCCTTGGGCACGCTACTATGAGGGTGATCCATCTGGAGCTGTTTTTATTTCAAATAAAACACTTAGAGCAGAACTGGATATCTGAATCTTTATTATTACCCAAAAAAATCTCTGGTATTTACTTTTTAAAAATAGTCTCATTCAAATGCTGTCCGTAGACGAACATAACCGTCAATAGCGAGCGCTACCGCACGACACGGCTGTCCCCACGACAACCGAGTTTTACCCGAGCAAGGGCTGTTCTTTCGGCAATTTAATCTGGTTTATGTCGGCGAAATCTCTTAAACGTTGTTCCTCCATTGGGCAACATCTGCTCCGTAATCTTCTGCTCAGGGCTGGCATAGAGCCAAACGCAGGGACGGTTGTATCCAAACTCCACCTCGATCAGGTGCAACACCTGCAAGGGGTGGGGCTACTTCCGCCCATGTCTGCACTTAAGAACTGACCGGCAGTGGACCAGTAGTTTGTGGCCCCATGCTGTGCATACCGGACCGCCTCTCCGGCACACCGGAGTTCACCCGAGCAAGATAACACCAACTCAACCACACCCCAACACAACACAACCATAGACACACACGGACTCAACCGCAGCCCCACCAACGCTCCGCCGCCTGCATATCCTAGTCCTTCTCGGTATGTCGGTCCAGAATATATCGTAACATCAGTCAAGTGCAATTCCTGCCTTGTCTGGTGCCACTTTAGGGCATCTTCCGGACTGCGCACCACGCGAGATTGGACGAGTGACTATGTGGGTCGCTGCTGTGCAGCTTAGTCGCAAACTTCCCCAGCGACGCCGCCGCCCACTAACACCACAGGGCAGCACCCCCTTCTTAATTTTTGCTGGATGCACTTCGGACCCCGTGCGAATTTTCCAGCCGAAGCGGCTACCCTAGCTGATTAATGTGCCAACCTTCGTCAGGCTGATGCCTGAAATACGGAAATACCGAGATTCCGAAACTTTTGAACGTGCACAAGCAGAAGAAATTGGTAGAGCATCTGAAGACCAGTAACTTCAACATTGCTGTGAGCAAGTTTTGGTCCACCGTGAGATCATTGTCCAATCCGGCGAATTATTTTTCGGCAACCCCGCTACTTTAGCCAACAGTTTACGATGCGTCCTCCAGCGGACAAAGCCAAACGTCGAATGACCAGAAGGCGCAAGCTGCCAACACCTAGTGTGCGTTTTGCTTTCACCATCGGTGAGGTTCGGGTATCCATCGGGAAGGCAAAAAAATCCAAAACCATAGGATCCTAATATGCATGCTGATGCTGAAAAAGTTTCGGCCTTTGCTACTCCCGCACTATACGAACCACCTGACCCCAGCGAGATATCACCATGGGTAGTGTAAAGTTCGCAGGACAAAAACAGCACTTAATGCCATAAATACCCAGATAACTCGTAGCCTAAACCGAAACTGCCCCTGCGAGAGGACAGCCCTAGCAGAGTTGGATCTGTCAGAGGTGTTTGACGCCGTCTGTTCCTCCACGCTACTAGAAGACATTTAAACTTCTCTCCAACAGGGATTAAAATGGTGGTTAGCGAATTATCTGAGTGGTCAACATGTGTAAGTAATTTTCAGAGACAAAACCAGCAAGCCAAAGAAAATTAAACAGGGAGTTCCACAGGGTTGTGTCCTTTTCCCGCTGCTATTTAATTACAACATCTTAAAGCTCCCTCAACCACCAGAGGGAGTCTCAACTGTCTCCTATGCTGACGACTGCTCGATATGAATAATTTCTCCTTTACGAGATCCTCGGTAACCCTTTTCACCACCTGGATGAAAGAGGTCACACTGCGCCGATGGCGAAGCCGAAAACCCTCGGAATTACCTTCGACAGATTGCTCTCGTTCTCGACACATACAACCGCAGTTGTCAGTAGAGTACAGAGCCGCAACAAGGTTCTTAAATCGCTAGCGGGCAGCGCAAGGGGCAAAGACAAATGAACGTTGTTGGCAATTTACCGGCCGGTTCTAAACTATGTAGCGCCCGTGTGATTTCCGGGAACAAGCAGGACGCAGTGAACGAAGCTAGAGACATGCCAGAACACGATACTTTGGACCGCGACTGCATGCCCTCTGATGGCGTCACAACACCACCTACACATCGAGGACCAAATACTCCCCATCAAGGAGCATAACAAAATGCTCTACATGCAGTTCCTAGTAGGGTGCCACAGACGCGGGCACCAGAACAGACATCTGGTTGCAGCAGACCGTTCGCCAAGGCATGTAAAGAGGCATCTATACGAACTGAGGGACGAGGTCCAGAGGTTCAGAAAACAACCTCTGCACCAGACAGCATACAGTTTTGGGTATGCCTCGGGAGACTCGCACGAAAATAGCCCAACAGTGTGGACAGATCCTGTGTAAGTTAAATCTAAACATCGCGGCGTATAGGCAACTCCTTTTAGTGCTGTGGAAAGCCACTTTTAAGTCAACAAATAGATGGTAAGTGTCGATTCTTTTCTAGCGGGTTTTTTCTAAGATTTGGCTTATTGTGAATATCTGGTCTATGGTAAATTTATCAGGCCTGACGGCAAGCTGATAAGGCCCAATCAGTTCGTTGACGGTGGGTTTCAGTCTTTCATACAATATGCTCCATAAGACCTTGTCACCTATGTTTAGAAGGCCGATACCGCGGTAGTTGGCGCGATGTAATAGATTGGGCAGAGCACACCTAAAATTCAGCCATCGGGCATGCGCTCATCTGACCATATTTTGCATAAGAGTTGATGCATGCACCTTTTCAACTCCTCGCCGCCGTATCTAAATGCCTGCCAGAGGCCGTCGGCTCCAGCAGCTTTTTTGTTTTTCAGCCGCGTTATCGCTATTCGTATCTCGTCATAGTCAGAGGGTACGACATCGACGCCGTCATCATCGACTGGGGGCTCTGGTTCGTACCCGGCGCACGTATTAAATATAATTTTTCACCTTTCTGAAAACTACCAATGCATGGTAAGCTAGGTTGGTTTTACCCCCATTTCAAATATTTTCGATATTCTCAGCTAAACTTAATGATGGCGGCCGATAGTACAGAGCCAGCTTAGACTCGCAGATCACAGGCACCTCCCCAACGTGCGGAAATGGACCGCACAACACCGCGTACCCTTTCGCATTCGGGGACTATGGGCTTCTACAAGAGCAGCAACTTCTTCATATTGAAAACCGGAGAGAAGTGGAAGAATTTACGATAAGCTTGCATATTTTTAAACAAACTATCATTGCCGTATTCAAAAGCAACAACTTTATTAATTACAAATTCACTTATCGCAAAGCACTAGCTTAAATTCGCTTAAAACTATAAGTGCACATGAATGCAATACATATATACATACAAAAAATTAAAAATTACATTGTTTTTTACTTAACCCGATTTTTTCATTACAAAAAAGCGTATAAATCGTATAAAATATCGCTTGTGGCGCCACAAAGGCATCACATATCTTTCTTACAATTTTTTTCACAAAATTACAAAATTTTTATTTCAGCATTCAAAACCACTTTTTTGACTTCAAATCCTCAAGTTTGTGGGTATACAAAAAACAATCTAAACACACATTTTCACGATGTTACCAATCATTGTTTACCTCTTTTCAAAATTTTCACTTTTGTTTTCATACATAGATGCAAATACATACAACGTCACCAATGCTACAGCAATACATCGCAGCTAATAGTATATTAGCAACGACTATTTACTTTTAAATATTGGCCTGTAAGGACATTTACGATGAAGATGATGACGATGACGACGTCGAGGATGACGAAGTCGTTGTATCCGACGAATCTGTTGATGTGCTCTCCGAAGAGCTGTGTGATCGTTTGAGACGTTTCAATTTACGCTCCGAGATCACCTCATAAGTGGGCAATGTCGAATTACTGGAATCCGATGAACTGCTCGTTGTTGTAGACGAACTGGAGCTGCTTGTCTCCTCCAAGACGGGTTCAATTTTTGTCGGTTTTCTGCCGATGGCAAAAAGAGCAAAAAACAAAAAAACACATTTTCAATTGACGTACATGAGCTCAGCGGCGAACCTTTCTATCAACCAACTTTTTCTTGTTCTTCTTATCCGATTTTTTACCGCCGCCGCCACCGCCGCCGCTGCTCCCAGCTGTGGCGCCACGTTTTGACTTCTTCGCTTCAACAATGTCACTCTCAATGGATGAATTGCTGCGATCGCGTTTCTTCGACTTTTTGCCAGCCTTCTTATCCTTTTGACGATTGTTGCGTTCGTCCACTAATTTTGTAGAGTAGAGATTCTGCGAACTAGCTGTAGAGTAGCCGGTATCCTTGCGCTTATGTTTCTTCGATCTTAAATAACAAACACAAAAACAAAGAAGAAGAAAAAGAAAGCGAAAATGTACCATTAAATTTTTAGAATTTCTGTAACTATAATTTTGTAAATTAGTATAAAAACGCGCTCACTTATCCTTTTTGTTCTTTTTTCGCGTAATGAACTCATCTTCGGCATAATCGCGCGCTCTGAAAAAGTTCAAGATTGGAGCATAAACACATATGTATGTGCAAGTCTATGCAAGATACACTTTTTGAAATTTTGTATAATTACTTTTGTATCTTTCGCTTGACATCAGTACCACGCTCAGTGGATATCATGTAAATGCTGTTAGCATCAGCATCTTGGGCGCGGCGACGCGACTTATAATGTTGTGACTTGTCGCCTCCGGACTTTTGTTCGCGACGATTCTTCCAGAACTCGGCATTTACTACATACAGACGATAGAGCTGCAGCACAATTACCAAGGTGTTTTTACCTAAAATAGCACAATAATAATTAAACTATTGGTTGCGGTTTTTGAAAAATACTTAATATTATATGTACGTAAACGATTTAGGCTGAGCACACAAAAATTACACAAGCATGGAATGAAAAAAATTTCAATGGTTTAACATTTTCGTTACAATTGATGACTAAAACTTCAAATTAACCGGACTTCTACCTACATAAGTCTTCATAAATACTTGTATGTTCATAAGTGTATCGGTTTTTAACATAGAGGGGGCCTTCAACAATCAAATTATGTCAGAGACCGAAAATAAGAGTTATTGATGAAAACTGTCATTGTTCTACAACTATGTGATACATACACATCAATTTATTTTTTCACCGAGAATCAAATTTTTAAATAAATTTTTATTTGAAACTTTTATGCAAAATTAAAAAAATAACAGTTATTTTTGATTTTTATTTTACAAGTCCAAAATTACAATTGGTTTTGATTTTTATCTAAATAATATCTAAATAACAGTTATTTTGGATTATTATATTATATGTCTTAGATAACAATTATTGAAGACTTATTTATAAAAGTCATCAATAAAAATCAGTCACCGACTTTTTTTTATATCATACGTTTAGAAGTCATTATCATTTTTCGCAGTTAAGAAGGTGTTGGAGAATCAAAGTTTCTTACGACTTATACAAATGACTTTTATAAATATGATTTTAAAAACAGAAGTCAGTGACTGATTTATATTGATGACTTTTATAAATAAAAGTCCTTGGTAACTGTTATCTAAGATATATAATTTAAAAATCAAAAATAACTGTTATTTGCAGATTAATAAAAAATAATTGTTATTTTGGATTGATAAAATAAAAATCAGAAAACTGTTATTTAAGAAGTAGTTAAATAAAAGTCAAAAAATAATTGTTGAAGAGTGATATTTTTAACAAAAGTTGTAACTGTTACTGTGTCTGGATTAAATAACTCCTACCAGTGCTGACGAAATTATTATTCTTTTCCAAATGTAAGTTTTTTAGCCATCCGTAAAAATTGAATAATATGTAATTACACAAAAAAAATAAAAAAAAAAATCAACGTTGTAGAATCTTCTCAACAAATGCGGCAGCGTACTCTCTTTGGGCATAAGAACACCTTATTCTTTTGTANTTTTTTAGCCATCCGTAAAAATTGAATAATATGTAATTACACAAAAAAAAATAAAATAAAAAAATCAACGTTGTAGAATCTTCTCAACAAATGCGGCAGCGTACTCTCTTTGGGCATAAGAACACCTTATTCTTTTGTGCCTTCACAAACCAGTCTTCTCTGTACCATAACGCCACCTATTTCTTATATGGTTTTAAATGCCCTTAGGCTAAGTTTGAAGATTTATACAAACATTAGGTGCATACTCCTCAAAGTGTCAAAATACTCCCCGAATTTTACGTTTTTATTACTCTAAAAAAATAGAAAACGACAGGAAAAACTTTCAGGTAAAGTCTCTTTCTAGACGGGACTGGAGTAGAGGCAGGATAGGCGAGGAGAATTCCACTAAAATCTATACTGACGGGTCCGAAATAGACTGCGGAGTGAGTGCGGAGGTTTTGTTCGAAACGTTGAATGTCTCTCTTTCTCTTTCCGACTGCCGAACTTTGCTAGGATCTTCCAAGTGGAAGTACTCGGAATCGAAAGGTTGCCAGGCGGCACTTCTAGCACTTTCCTCACCGGTAACAAAGTCCAAAACATTCAGAGATTGTAAATGTGCGTTAAGCTCGACGACCGAGTTAATAGACATCTCCCGCATCTGGGCTCCCGGCCATAGGACCATGTACGGAAATTAGAGGCCTGACGAGCTGGCTAAGATCGGAGCATCTCTTGATGAATCCGAAGTAGAGCCGATAAACCGTCCACTCGCACTCATAAAATGGGAACTGCATTTGCAATTCGCACATATGGCTGATGCACGATGGAACATACGGCCGCATTATGATAGACCAAAGACAGTAGAACTTCTAAAGAGGTCAAGGAAAGATATGGTCAGTTTAACAGCCACGATAACGGGACATTGGCCCACTGGCAAACATGCAGTCAAAATGGGCCTTCCGTATCACCCTCGGTGCCGTAGCTGTTAACTCGAGAGAAGTAAGGAAGCGATCCTACACTTCCTTTGGGACCGCCCAGCATTGGCACGACACCTCTGAAAGTATTCAACTCGGAACGCGCTGGTTGCAACAGAAGAAGTGAGAGGCCCCAACTGCGATGGAAAGATCAGGTGGAGAAGGACTTGGCAAATGTCCATTTGGCGTCGGTTGACACAGAATAGAAACGACTGGCGAGCTTTGTAGAGCTCGGGAAAAATCGTTTAGGCGGCTACAGCGCCAAACAAGAAGAAGAAGAATATTGTATATGTATATATGAGAAAAGCACCTAGAACCACGCCGACGGCAGCGAACTACACACTGCTGCGCCTTTCGCCGGCCAAAAATATAACATTCAAAACTGTTGCAAGCTTAACGTCACGGGGCCTACGGTCACAGCAAGTAGTATGGCGTCCACCCTTTCTGGACAAATAGGCTCCGTGATTCCGTACCTGTACTTTTGGGGTGAATATGAATGCTACTATTGGGGTTGAAGGCTGGTGGAAGTATACGAGGATGGCTGACTCGGTCCATAAAGGTCTGCCGTATACCGCACGGAATTTAAATTTAGTAAGTCTTATTGCCTGCTGGCATATTGTACAGGCTGCTGGCATATGCTGATGATATTATCAACGTCGGCCGAAACTGCAGGGCCATCAGGGCAGTATTTTCCAGCTTAGAGAAATAAATAACAAAATAGGTTGGTGGTGGCGAACGAGCTACCTTGTACTATCCAGCATTAGCACCACCAATAAAGTCAGTCTCTGGGGGCGTATGCGATGGGTACGGACGAAAACATAATTAAGCGCATAAAAATTCAACGATTGTGATGACTTGGGCATGGACGACAATGCTACAGCGAAAAGATTCTTCTAATCGCCATCCATGAAGAGGTAACGAAAGCAACGGCGCCAATCTGGCGAATCTAACATAACCAAACGGTATTGTTGGCCATCATACATACCAGGGATTGGCATTGGTTGATCGTCAACTGTTCATACTCATTCAATACCGCTGCTTTGTATGACTGAGCAGCGGCGTTGGCTTAGTAGTATCGATACCTAAACGAAATTAGAGGATGACTGAACACGAGCGCATTGCGTGCTGTCTTGCAAATACAGCCACCACAAGTGAACGATGCTTATAACTGCTCATACTGATATTGACTTCGGCAAATCTGTACTCTGAATGATCGTGCACGAAACCAGCAAACGTGGCAGTTGAACGGCTCCGAAAACATGAGAGTCATCATTTGTTGCAGAAGTCGTTTGACTTGTTGCTGAAAATCATCTGACTTGTTGCTGAAAGCCATTTGACTTGTTGCTGAAAATCATCTGACTTGTTGCTGAAAATCATCTGACTTGTTGCTGAAATGACGACGAATGTGGTAAAGGGTAATTTATCGTCTCGTATGCATGTATGTATGTATTTATAGCGCGTCTACCATTCAATTGCATTGCTCACTGCTGGCTAGTTGTGAGGAATGTGCATACGTACGTATGTATGTATGTACATATCAATGCTTCATTTCAAACAAGCAAGTGTCTTTGAATGTTTTTGAACTGCAGTATCATCACTTCGGCAACACGTCAAACGCGCCTGCACCAACAAACCAAAGGCGGCGGTTTGACTTCTGCAACAAATCATGTTAGCTAACTGCGGCATCTTGCCTTCGCCAGTCTTTCACATAAGCTGTCATGCTTTCGGCAACCGTCCAAAGAAGTATCGTGCTTTTGGCAGTCGATCAAATACGGCGGTTGCTGGTTTCGTGCACGATCATTCGGAGTACAGATTTGCCGAAGACAATATCAGTATGAGCTGTTATAAGCATCGTTCACTTGTGGTGGCTGTATTTGCAAGACAGCACGCTTTGCGGTGGTGTTCGTGAATCCCCCGTTTTTAACGAGAGTAGGCTTAAAGTCACAAAAACAGCACCCTTTGCCAATCCCTGATAAATACTCAACGTACAAAATCTCTGCACAAACACTTCGTCGAAGAGTTTCATAAGCTTAAGTCCATAAAAAGTAGATATCTGATGAAAAGCATCTCGATTAATTTTAGGAAACTTGTTTGCTGTGACTTAAAACCCATTTCTTTTTAATTTTGTTTCCTTAACCTTTTACACAAAGCTCTATAACACTGTGCGACTGCCCAAACCAGCCTGCCTTTGTTAACACTTTCTGAAAGTATAACCATGCAGTAGTAAAAAACTCGATGTCCCGGCCTCAGTAATTTTCAAACAAGTGGAAAAATCGTTAAAATAAATGTCTAAGCGAAATTAAAGGTTAAGACATATATAATAAAATTTCTTGGGAAATACTTTCGTAGAACATTTTAGCCCATTATCTGCTGCCTGAAAGGGTCATTTTGACCCTTATTTCAAGAAAACTCGCAAAAAAAAAACAAATTTGGAAGGTTGTTAGAGAACTGATATAGTCTAGAATATTATTCTTTGGAAAATTTTACTAGGGGTCTTCACAGGCAAAAACTTTATGCCACCCACCGACGTAAAAGTCCCTATAAAACTAAAACAAAAAGTCTATGCCAAGAGGGAATAACAGCCAAACTCAGTTTCAAAAATTTTTTGTAGAAAAAAACCAAGTTTTTTTTTGCTGATTTTTAATTTAATTTTTTTATAGGCTTTTACGTTGGTGACATGCATTTTTTGTCTAAGAAGACCCCTAGTAAAATTTTCCGAAGAACAATTTTCTAGAATATATCAATCCTCTAACGAACTTCTAAACTTGCTTTTTGCGGGGTTACTTGAAGTGAGGGTCAAAACGATCCTTTCAAGCGGAAGCTAATGGGTTAGAATGTTCTACGGAAATATTTCCTACGAAATTTAACCATATACGTACATATGTATTCGCCTTTAATTTCGCTGAGGCGTTTGTTTTAACCATTTTTCCATTTGTTTAAAAAATACTTAGGCCGGAACATGAAAACTTTAGTAGGCCATAAAATAAAAGTACGAACTAACTTTTGCAAATCCATTGAGTGTTTTATTTCTGGATACGTATACTTTCAGAAAATATTAGCAAAGTCCGGGCTATTTGGAATTTTCACAAAATTGTCGCACAGTGTAATCATTGAACTCATTTTTTTATTTCTCTGCATTCTTTTAACTTGAAAGGTTTTTTGCCAAACATTTCTCTGTACACATATATGTATGTACTTACATGTAAAAAACACGCTCATATAATTAAGAATCTTATATTGAAAAATTATAAGCATGCGCAGCGTTAGGAATGGCGCATCCTGCAATATCACATTGAGCACAATGGCCCAGATATCGATGCCACAACAACAGCCATCACAGCAATCGGTGGTTCTAAGTAATATAAAAGTGTAATTAAGTGAAACCAAAGAACTTTGAAAAAATAAATGCCAATTGAATGCAACTTACTCGTCACTTCGATTTAGACCACCGCCTCGCGGTCGACGCGCTCTAGTCGCCGATAAAACAATAGTGAATTGCATCAAACTCCAGGACCAAATGCCCAAGGTGAGAAATACCAAGAGAGGTATTTTTATAATGTTGACATCTTTGTAGGATTCGAAAAACTCCATGATGTCCGCAGCGGTGCCTAGGATACGATAGTGATGATATTTTATTAAGAACATTAAATATTTTTAATAAATAAATATATAGTCACACAACCAAAACATTTTCAACATTTACATAAATACGGTCTCTCTGTAGAAGAAAATCTCGTAAATATACATAAATATTTAACCTCTCACCTATATAAACGAGCAGCAGCTGACTTAGCTGATCGCGTGTCAAATCGCCTTTTGGCAACATCCAACGGCCCACAATTAGAATTAGCATCAAAAATTGCTCGATCAATGTTATCCATGTATCCGGTTCTATGTTAAATGCAGGCAAATCTAAATTCTCAGCAACCTCTTGTAAAATGTTTTCATTGCTGCTATTATTGTTGCCATTTGTATTGTTGAGCTTACGCGCCACTTGATCTAATTCTAACAACCAAATAGCCGGAACAATGCTGCTTAGATATAAAAATACCGAAGGGCAAAACCTGCAGAAAACCAAATTCACATACATACATACTTACATAAATACTTACATAGGGACATACATACATACATAAAAAAAAAATTTTAAATTAATTAAAAGCAAAGCAACAACAGTAGCAATTTCAGTAATGCAGCAAAAAGCTGTCTAAACGCACTTGTTGCATGCATAAAAAACGGTAATAAAAGGAGCGTATGAGTAAGCAAAGCAATGGCAGTGAGTTAAGCACTAGGTGGCGAAGGTTACTCATACGCCATGCTGACCAAATGATTGTATGTCATACATATGTATGTATGTATGTGTGGACTTTTGACAAAACTACCTCTGTGTTTAGAGGTAAATTATACGGGACTTCCATTCAAAAATTTTTATTTAAATTTCATTAAGATATCATCTATTTACTCTTATTAATTACTGAACATACAAATATCATTCGACAACTCATTGAATTACAGCCTTGGGGAGAAAACGACCTTACTCGAAAGAAGTTGTCTTGTCAAAGGTCCACAGATATGTATGTATATGGGCAATTCTCACAAACTACGATTTTTTTTTTTAATTTTTCTTCTTAAGTCGTGAGCACATGTCTGAAATTTTTAGTATACAATCCTTCAGCTTTAAAACAACGCACATACGTTTTTAATGTTTTTTACGCGTTATTGTTTTGGAAGTGCGCGTAATTTTAGTCCGATTTCGAAAATTTTCAATATATAAATTGATTTTTTATACCAAGATCAATAATTGTACTGAGTTTGGTTCAAATTGATAAATCGGTTACCGAGATACACATACAGTGAACCAACTAAAAACTGGGACGACACATTTTAGTAAGTTCTGGCTATTTTTCTTTAGTTTATTTAATCTATATATTAATACGCTAACATAAATTTTGTCTCCGTTCGTTTGGCGATTCTACCGAACCGATTTCAAAACCAAAAACAGCGTTGGAAAGGCATTTTTCCGTAGATGAGCAGAGTTTTTATGGTTTCACAATTGGTTGAAAATTACGGCCAAAACCGTCGTTTAATCATTTCCGACTGTTGTTTCACTACAGATTTTAAATTAAGCTTTGAAATAAAGATAAATATGAAGATGAAGAAATAAATGAGAACGATGAAGTCAAAAAAAAGAAGGCAAAAGTGAAGATAAAGACGAAAGTGGAACAATGACAGATACATAAGAATTAGGGTAACTAAAAGGGTAAGAACATTTCTTGAATTTATGAAGTGAAACTTCTTTAGCGGCAGTTGGTTGGTTGGGAGTAAATTGTCAAATTCAAGGGGAATAATGCACATGGAAATGGTTCTCAGCGGTTTAGCGGTTTGAGAATAAAAACAAAAACAAAGATGCCTAGAGGTAGCTGGCAAAAACGAAGATCAAAGTAAATTATAACACTTTAAGGTAAAGGTGAAGAGGAATATGCAAAAATAAAGATAAATATGAAGAAAAGGATGAGGATGAAGATCGATATTGTTATCGATATAAAACTCAATATTTTTATCGATATAATAATCGATATTGCCATCGATAAAATAATCGATATTGTTATCGATACTGTTATTGATTAAATAACCGCTATTGTAATCGATATAATAATCGATATTGTTATCGATACAATAATGGATATTGTTATCGGTATAATAATCGATTAAACAATTGATTTTGTTATCGATTTAGTCATTTATATGTTAACGATAGGTACAATAATCGATACTGATGATTGTTATATTTATCGATGAATTAATCGATTTTACAATCGTTGTATTTTTCTATATGTTTATGGATATTGTCATCGGTATTTTTATCGACACAGTTATCAACAGGGTTATCGATACACTAATCGGAACATGGAATGTGATCACATTACATGACATCACATCACATTTTATCACATGATATAAAGAGACATCACATGATATTACATCACATAATATGATATCACATCACACGATATCACGTGACATGAAATTATATGATATGACATCACATTATATGGCATCACATCACATGACTTGACATCACATGATATGACATCGTATGACATGACATGGCATTACATGACGTGGCATCACATGATATGAGATCATATGACATGACATCACAGGATATGACAACACATGACATGACATCCTATCACATCACATAAAATCACGTCACATCTTATCACGTCATCGCACCTCATCTCATCTACGTGCAAAGAAAAAGAAAAGGACATAAGCAAAGATGTGAAAGATAAAAACAAAGATGAAGACCAAAGTAAAGTTACCGATTTCAAAACCAAAAACACCGTTGGAAAGTAAATTTTCTGTAGATGAGGAGAGTTTTTATAGTTTCGAAATTGGTTAAAAATCGTCGTTTAAAAATTTCCATATTTGTGTATGGTTGTTTTTGCAACCTGTTCAATTTAAGCTGTTTCGCATTTTGTTTTACTTCGTATTTGAAATTAAACTTTGAAATAAAGATAAATATGAAGATGAAGAAACAAGTGATAACGATGAAGACAAAAAAAGGCAAAAGTGAAGATAAAGACGAAAATTGAGATAAAGGCGAAAATGGAGATAATGAGAAATACATAAGAATTAGGTTAACAGAGTTAAAATTTTCCGATAGGAATCGAAATAAAATCAGCCATAAATGTTACTGAAATTTATCGAATCATCGAAGTTTATAATTATCGAAATTTATCCATGCTTATTAAGTTATCGCAACGTAGACACAGGAACTTAGTTGTCCAAATTTACGGATAGTTATCGAGCTTTAAAAACGTATGGGATTAACAAAATTTGTCAAGTTAAATAAATGTATCAAGTTATCGATATTTATTGAATTATCATTATTTATAGACTTAACGAAATATATCGAGGTGTCGTAATGCATGGAGTTCTTACAACTTACAGAGTTATCGATAATTATTGATCTACTGAAATTGGTTGGTTCAACGAAGCGAAGTTTATGGAACTTTCAAAATATATCGCTTTATCGAAATTTCAAGGTTATATAAGCTTATCGATTTATCACTGCTTATCGAATTTAATCGTCTTAACAGAGTGTACCGAGTTATCAAAATATTTAGATAGTTTTCGAAAAATGTGGAGATGTCAAAAGTAAAAATTTATAAAGGTATCCAAAGTTTTTACATTTTGAGTTACCGAAATTTATCGAGCCATCGAATTTCACAGTTATCGAAATTGGTCGAGTTAACGAATTTTGTTGAGTTATCGAATTTTAGTGTTCTTGACATTCATCGAACTATCGATATGTATCAAATCATTGAAATTTATCGATAAACTTTAATGTATCGGGTCAATTCCAAGTCCTGCCGAAGTCCTCCAAAGACCTTCTCAGATAAAAAAAATTTAGTTACGTTTTAGCAGAAGATTTTCTGGTTAGTTCATTTGTATCGTATAAGTTTTGCTACGTGTTAAGTTAGAAAACCTCTCCAAGGCTTCTAAAACTAGAAAAACTGTCGAATTTCGACAGTAACTGGCACTGTAGTTTTTATTATTTCTTTATGAAAGTATAGCCAATTAATTAACAAACACGATATAAACACAAATTTCAGATTTGGTGTCCGAATAAAAACTGCCGAGTCATGAGAAAATTCGCACTAACTGAGAATTACCAATATGCAAATGCATCCTATTTATATATGTATATCGGTAGATCCCATGTCCGAATAAAATCTGTTTTTGCTGCTTAAAATCGGTCGCCTCCCGCAGGCATTAACGAACCTCCCCGAGTGTATTTATGTACATATATCACCAAAGCCTTTTCTTATGACAGCCATCCAATTAAAGGTAATGACGGTTAAGCAGCTTAAACTGCCAATACTCACATCCTAAGAAAAATATCAATATGGTAATTTGAGAGATTCGTAAAAGCGGCAGGCGTGGTTGGTTGTTTGTTTGGTTGAAGTGGCGAGTTTAACAACACCAATTAGCACTTATGCGTGCAACATTAGAAGTCGGTAATTCCTCCGAATCCACCTCGGGCAGCTCAAGAACTTAAGAAGTGGCAGTGGGTTAATATCACTTATGTCCGTTAAGCCGCAAACCTTTCTGCCTATAAACCTAAGTCTATCCCTACACAATGCTGGGCAATTACGGAGCAGATGCTCAACAGTGTCTTCTGCATCTGGTGAGTAACAGCTACGACAAGAAAGGTTTGTTCCAGTCCTAGTCTTTGCAGTATGGATTTCCATGACCCAGTACCCTGTTTAAAGGGCAGTTAGTCGAGATAAATCCATCCTGTTCAGTTTGATGAGAAATTCAGTGCATTTACCGCAGTAGCTGAGCCGAAGACTCCAGCAGACCCTACAGGATTGCAGGTCTTCCACCTACTGTTGGCCATCTTTTTTCAGTACCGAGACATGCGGCCCTTGATATACATAGCTCAAAGGCATAATAACCTCTCTCTCTCTGCCTCTGAGATATACAGAGCCGACCCATTCCTGGGCAGCTCGTCAGCAATCTTGTTGCCATGAATTCTGCTGTGCCCCGGCACCCAAATCAGTGCAACGACATGAATGTCAGCTTAAGCCATAACGTTCCCTGCACTGTTTTATTATGCTGGAGGTGATGCTTACAGAGCCAAGTGCCTTGATCGCTGCCTGACTATCCGAGAAAATAGCAATGCTGGTTCTCGTTAGCTTCGAGGCTAAAATTATTTTGCACGCCTCTTTTATGGAAAAGAAATCTGCCTGAAAATCACTGCGCGAATGTACTCTTTGATTTGGAGGTTAGTTGAAAAAATTCCCGACCCCAAGTCGCGATCCATTTTTGAGCTGTCCGTAAATATAGAAACTTCGAAAGGTTGAGTAAAAGTAGGCTCATTCCACTCCTTTCTTGGTGGAAACACGTGCCGAAGTTTTTCTTGAAGAGAAGCAAAGGACAAATGTAGTCAGGTTTTTCGCGAATTCTTGGATCCTTGAAAGAGTACAGGATACGTCCATGTCCGTACGGATATAGGTTTTTACACAGTATAAGTTCCCTCAACACATAGTGAAGCACTTTGCTTTATAAAGCCATCAATCGGTGGCAAATGACAAATGACATTCAATGCTTCCGTTGGACATGATCTTACCGCAACAGTATTCTGAATGCAGGCTGACCTTTGTACCCTGCCTAATATTGTGTATAAATAGTTGGTCTTTACGGCTTCCACCAAACCAACAATAATTGAGCGGAACTTCTTACTCAGCATTTTGTTTCAGAAATACAGGGTTTTTTAATCGGGGCTCTGTATTCATTTTCCAGTTTAATTTCGGTGTGAACATGACTCCCAAATACTTAGAGCAAGACGAAAGAGAAAGAGTGTGCCCATTGGAGGAAGGTTGAGTTAAAATTAAGAACCTTTTCCTCGGGGTGAATAATATTAAATTGGTCTTCGAGGGATTAGCGTTGAGAACGCCGCTATCGGCTCAAAAATCCAATTCCCCTAGTCCACTTTGAAGCATTCGGCCTATCACATTTATGCACAATCGAGATACCATAATTACTACATCGTCTGTGTACGCGACAACTTTGACCCCTTCCCTGTTAAGCCGTAGGAGAATGTTGTTGAATATGCATGGCCACAATAGTTGCCGTTAGATTTAGGGCAAACCTCAAACCAACACAGAAGAATGGTGTGTTGAAAAGAGCTTGTCAGTAAACCTACTTAAGTCGACCTTCTTACCATTCTCCAATGGAAGGAAGATTAACTAGATCCAGCCGAATGTGGGACGGACAAAGGTTAAGAACGCAAAAGAAGCAACATTTCTGAAAGTGAATCTGGATAAAAGACTCAATAAGAACTAAGGTTTCACAACAGTTACCAGCATTTAAGCGATTGCCGAATGTACACAGCATAAATAGTGGAGATTTTAAGGATAATTTAGAAGCAGACGTTGCAAGTTAAGGTATCATCTTAGTAAGACGGGACTGCCTGAAGAGACGGAGCGAATTTTTAAAGAGAATCATCCGGAATTAATTAGACGCAATTAGTATCATAGGGTAATATTGGAGATCAGTTAGTCCGGGACTGATCCCTTTCGGGTATAATTGGAGATCAATTAGTTTGTGAGAGATTTTTTGGTTAGCAAACCTGAGAACCCCGGCTCGAATCGCTGCCGGCGCAAATTTTAATTCAAATTTTTTAAACGCGACTACTCGCTTTTTATAAACATTCGGGGGTAAAGAAGAACAATTAGTTTTTTCATAGGACATGCTCGAACTAAAGCGAACAGTTGATTCCATACAAAGAAATCAATAGTGATATTAGTCGCATGTCCTTTGGTGATTGCTCCCGGAGCCATAACGCATTATTCGTATTTTTGCAGGGATTGATGTTGGCAAACAATTTTTTTTTTTTTTGGTAAAGCATTTGTTTATTAGTAAGTGTGTATATGTTTTATATATTTATGTACATATACGAAGGCATAGATTCGAAAAATCTCCATTCCATAGCATTAAATCTTCCAAACAAACGCTCCGAACACTTACAGACACATACAAAGTGAATGTTGAATTCACCAAAGAAAAGTAATGGCTATCCGCCGGCAAACCAGCTGATAGAAAATGTGCTTATATGTATGCATGTAGTGGTATGTATGAGCTGCGCGTGCAAGTACAGGCTGGAAGTTGCGCATTTTGCTGCGCTGCACAAACACCATTAAATTACATTTGGGTGCGGGAGTGTTGGCGCAATTACATACACATTTACACACATACATGCATGCATATGTATTTATATTTTATGTAATGGGATTTCACTTTTAATTGAAAATCAAAGTTAACCAACAAGCAAAATGACGCAATCGCATTGTTTACATTGGAGTAAAATCAAACACACAGACACGCAGCGTACAGTGGTACAGCCCCACACCTTTTGTTGGAAGAAATTAGAAGGAGTCGGCGTAGAACCTCAATTTTCCGTATTTTAAAGCATTTCTCCCGTATAAACCTAACCTCAAAAACGTTTTAAAAATTCCATAAAAAGTGCACCGATGAATATATGACTCCGAAATTTTGCCCATATATTTGTAATAACATTTTGTGTGAATCCTCAAAAATTGGGCGCAATCGTTTTATTTCAAAGCATATCACCCATACAAACCTAATCCCAAAAACGCCTTAAAAAGTCCGTAAAAAGCGGCCCGATGAACATATCATTCCGAAATTTTGTCCATATATTAGTTACATTAAAAGTTGCAACATTTTTTTCAGAAATCGACCGAAAATATTCCGGTCTTTAATTTTTTTTATATTTAGTAAGAAGGCGAACAAAGTGGAAGGAATTATAGTTTTTGTTCATCAAAAGTGTCAAAGTTAGCATTTATAAAGTGTCATTTTTGTCTGCTTATATTTATTAAAATATTTGCTATATTTTCATATGAACCTACAAAAACAATAAACACAAAAGTTATAAGAGAAACACATTGCTTAAGTGAACAAAAATCTCAATCAGTTTTAGTTGCACAAAACTCTTCTGACTTTTGTTGCTTTTATTTTATATAAAACTGCCAATTTCGTAGATTTTTATAATGAATTTTTCATATTCAAACATAATTCAAAAAATTTTATTTTTTCCGATTAAGCACCACTGTGCAGCAGGATAATTATTAATTAAGGATTTTTGGAAAGCACTTATATATGTATATACACCCGAGTACACACACACATACATATATACGTTGACATACATACATATTTACACACATATGCTTTATTAAGAAAATAAATTCAAATTTGTTAGGCGCTTACATTAACTGCTTGCAATTAAATAGAAACAAAAGAAAACAGAAAACAATATAGTAAATACGTTCAACTACATAAATCCAATGAAAAAAATCAAAAATCAATTACATGACCCCATACCACCGCCATTCTTGCGTCTTCTTGATCATCAGCGTGAAGATGCCTTCGAGCAGAAGCAACACCAGCGGTGCACATAGTGACCAATAGATGTAGTTTCTCGTATTGACGGTCACTTGCCAAATAGCTAGGATGCTGTGTGCGCCGAAGAACATACGCGTCAAAATCGCTTTGAATGTCGATAAGATTTTCGCCATTGTTTCATAATTACTACTTTGTGCTATTTTACTCCATTGCCATAGTAGTAGGCGTACACACACACACTCTCACCAATGTAACACACATATTTGCTCTCAATAACTACAAGTCACAGAATGTTTGAAGAAAAACCGTTAAATTTGTTAAAATTTTTAAGAACGAACTGTGCGCTTTGGAGCGCAAACCGCAACTAAAAGTGCAAAAATGTTCTAAACGCTTGCTAAACGCTTTGACCACCAACGTTTAGGCGCATTAGTACTGACAATATTTAAAGGTGCTGGGATGAGGGTGTGTAAATAAGTACATTCATTGTGTTGTTCACTGAGTTACTTGTAAAACTAATATAAGGTAAGAAAGTAATCGGTATTTTGATTACGGTGTGCGTCTTGGTGTTGTCACACAAATACCAATTTTATGGCGCCTTCGAACGGCAGTTGAATTTTTATGAGTGACTTTTTCGTGGCAAAAATGTAGAGGTTTAGAAATTCCACCGAAATTGGAACTCACATCTAACCACTACCACGAAGATGTAGATATAATTTGGAAGTCTTCGTAGTTCACAAAACGATTTTCGCATAACGATTGTTTGTAATGCTTAGGTAGCGAGCTAATTGTAAATAAAAATCCACAAGAAAGTCGACCCCGCCATACGTGCCAACAACCGCGGTATCAGCCTTTTACGAATTGGGTACAAGGTCTTATCGAGCGCATTGTTTGAAAGCCGGAATCCCAACGTCAACGAACTGATTAGGACTTATCAGTGAGGCGTTAGACAATACGCCAATTCTTGGAAAAGACTCGAGAGAATAGGATCGATAGACATCAAATATTTGTCGATTTCAAAGCCGCTTTCGACAGCACGAAAAGGCCACGATGTCTAAATTTGGCATTTCCGCGAAACTAATACGGCTGTGGAAAATTACGTTGAGCAATATCACCAGCTCCATCAAAATTGGGAAAGACCTCTCCGAGCCGTTCGCCCCCCAAACGGCATTTCAGACAAGGTGAGTCCCTTTCGTGTGATTTAAAAATTTCGAGAGAAAGCTTTCTTAACCCTCTCTCGATTCGAAACTACATTTTCTAGTTATACTCATTGTAGTAAAAATATGCAGCTTCAGTGTGTTTTCAATACAATTTGTTAATAAACAGTAACCGTAACCGAAGGATTTAGGAATTCAGCTATTAAATCAAGGATAATCATAACAATACATATAGTGACAAAAATATAAATAAAGAAGAGACATTCTAGAATTTAGCTATTTTCCTTTACTATTATTTTTCTATGAAAGGACAGCTCATTATCTAACAAAAACCATGTAAGTAAAAATTTCAAACTTTGTACAAAAAACTGGCGAAATTCGAAAAAGCTTCATCAAAGTTTTGAGCTTTTTAATTCGAGTTTTTAGAAACATTATAGGTATTTTATTATAATTAACTGCAAATTTGCCGTTGATTTTTGGCAATATTCTTTGTGGAAGGTGTTGCAGATTTTCTCCATAAAAACAAATTTTCGAACATACATACTTTGTAAGGAAGAAAATGCGCGAAAAAAATTACGCAAAATCAACGGTAAGTCCTAGCTACTTCAAAATTGAACTTTATTATAACTAAATTTAAAAAAACTGCATTCTCAAAAAAGTTCTAAAACATCTGATAAAGCATATTAAAATTTGGATAACATTTGTTAAAATTCGTCGAATTTTTATAAATGTTCTTCAAGGTTGAAAATTTTTATTTGCAGGGTTGTGTTTAGATAGTAAGCTATATTTTCATAAAAAATAATGAACATTTTTTAAACAAAGAAAAATAGCCAAAGCTTGCTAAAATGTGTATTCCCTATTTTTATTCTCACCACCGTACGTCACAAAAACGAAACGTGACAACACATTTATGATATGGGGACTCAAAGGCATTACTATTTTAAACTTTAAAGGAATTAAAAAAGTAAAAAATAAATAACATGGAATGAAGTGTGGAAGAAGGTAAAAAAATCGGATAAGAATCGGCCAAAAACGGCAGATGTCGTTGCCGATTCCAATTCTTTAGGCGATACTAGCCGATGCCAATCCAGGATTCTTGGCCAGGAGGTCCTGGGATCAAATGACCATTGATAACTTTCTTCCACGACAATATTTAGCTGTTATTTTCGGTCTCTGGTCTTCTTAATTTGAAGTTAAAGCTCAAATCAGTGAACAAACGCTTACGTCCCGATGTGCTACTTTCTACTACTTTCTCCAATAGTAATTGTCATAATTATGTTTCTTACGATGACAAACGATCATAATGATGACGACTTTCGATTTTTTTTTTCGTACCGCCACGTATATATGTATGTATATACATACACACATGTTTTTGTAGCTATTGGTTTCGCTGTCTTTTAACTGCCATTCATGCTGACCTGCGGTCGAAACACTAAAAAAAAACAATGTTTACAGCACGCCGCGAAAACGCGCGATTCCGTTGCATGTGTGGGTGTGAATGGTTTTTTATTTCGCCCCACTATGACATACACCAGTTCTAATAAGTTTGATGAAAAGTAACTAGTGCAGACAATTTAATGACGCTGCCCACACCTAAACCCCGCTGGTTAGTGGTCGCTACCTTTTTATATATGTATATATGTATGTGGCAAATGGGGGTGGCGGGTGATTGTGGTGTTGACTACTAAATTGTTTAAATACGCCCCTCCCACTTCTAAAGTACTAAGTAAGTACATGACACTGGCTTTTAACACTTAAATCACGTGAGGTCAATGTGATTTGTGCAATTATTGATATTCGCAAGCGACTCTAATAACAGTTCAATAGCAGGATATCTTTGAGGAGAAAGTGAAAAAACTCTGTATTTAGCTTAAGTACCACTGATGTGTATGTACATTAGGCTGCATCAACAAAAAAAAGTTGCGGTTTTTCCGCCGGGACTACAAAATTTATTATATTTTAAGACGTCCAACAAAATATTTCGGAAACATGTTAAGATTTAAGCGAGCTGGACCGATTTGAAAATACCTCCAAAAATTGATTTTTTTATGAATAAAAACAGTTTCTTAAAGATGTTTTTTGGAAAAATTCCCTCATATGACAAAACGGTTTAGCTGAAAAAATTTACATAAAAGTATTAAAAAAAATTTAACGGAATCGTAATAATGAGATTCTTGATGCTGTTTTTTAACTTTGAACTTGAAGAACTGATCCTAAACTCTTCCGATTTAGACTTGTGAGGTATCATTGGAAAGGTATTTTCTCACCTCGCTAGATCCCCGCAGGGCTCGAGCAGACGCGTCAGAAGAGCTGGAAATAAGCTGAACTATAGGTTCAGCTATGTTACAATGAGTCCCTGGCAACAAAATTCAGCGGAAGAAAAGAAGGAAGGTGGCGAGGAAGAAATGCAGGTGGACGAAAATCCCCATGCTTCAATAGCAGTCCACACCTCCAGCCTAATCTTCAAACCCGCGAGGCACCAACCAGCAAGATTCAGAGGCTCATACACAGAGGAAGGTCCCCTTAATGCAGAATCTAATGGATGGACTAGACCTAGGAAGGTTTGAGCTTAAGGGGAGAAGCGAGAGCGACCTAGGCTCTTGGACCTCGGCGCGCAATGATACCCACCACCAATGAAAGTGATCCAGATCAACCAGCTGGCATGTTGTTGTTGTAACAGCACACAAATTCCCCAAAGTTTTTAGAGAGTGATGATGGAGTGACAGTCCTTGGCAGGATATAAATCCGGCTCGTTCCGGTTGCGTAAACCCGACTGTCGTGGGAACGTAAACAATCTGCTCTTTTGCCACAGTACCAGCCCACTTACTCAATTACGTGAACACGCCTATTATGTTGATAAGAATTTTTTTTGTATTGAAAAAAGTTTAATGTAAATTTTATTTATTTAAATTTTTATTACAAAAATTACTTGAGAAAGGAATTTAAATTGTCGTCTTATAGCTCTATTCTGTATCAGTAACAAATTTTTGTTACAGTTTTGTTACCATATAGCGCGTGTTTGAACCGAATTCTGAAAAAGGATGTTTTTGAGACAGGGTGTTTTCGAACTGGCTGCCGAGATAGGTCGATCTTCCACTCAACAGTCGATATACTGGTTACTGTGTATGTATATTCATCTTTCTCTTACGGTCAACCAAAACCAAAACAGCGCTTATCAGTTATTCTTGGAAATATAAAAATATTCTTTTTTACATAAGTGTGTGCATTTTATCATAGAGAAAAGCATAATAATACTGACATATTAGCGCTGACAAGTATGTTAGCGTTTGGCCGAGCTTCTCCTCCGGTTTGTGGCGTGCGCTTTGATGTTGTCACTCAAAGGGGAGGGACTTACAGCTCTACGCCGACTCCGAACGGCGATTTATTTTCATGAGAAGCTTTTTTTCATGGCAGAAATAAACTCGGAGGTTTGCCATTGCCTGCTGAAGCGACCGCTTTTAGAACAGCTTTCTTTTTTTTTATGTTGTGTTGCACCGGGCCTGTGAAATGGTAGTGCGCACTGCTAACCATTGCACCCTGAAAAAGGGAAAAATTCTGTAAGCTGGTCATGCATTTTTACCTCCTATGAAGTATTTTGGAATGGTGGGGGTCAATTTTATAGAAATGTAATTTTTGTATGGGGCCTTCCAAAGCAGAGGACATAGAGGTATGTTCCAATAGTGGGGTCTATGGTACATTTAATCCCATTAGAGGCAACTCTTGGCTAACTATGACCATTTTGTCGTACAGATATAATATATATATATGGAATTTGACATTGTTACAAGGTCTTGCAAAGTCTGGCTTAAGCAGTATTCAAAAGAAGGGATGAAAAAGAGTCTCACAGAAAAATTTTAGGAAAGTACCAAAAAAGTTCGACTTAGTTGATATTTTTTGACGAAAAACCCCCCTAGGCCCCTCCCAAATAAAGTTTTCCAGCGTCCTGATACACCACTGTGATGAAGAACAGACAACTTTTTAAACATGTCCATTTCATTTTTGTACTTTTCAAAAAACAAACTTCAAATTTCACCTACAAAAAAATAACAAAGTGGGCTTTAAAACACCAAAGGATAACTTTTTCTATGCAATTGGAAATTTCTTAACAAGTGGGAATTATCAAAACATTAAAATTCCATTTTTTTTTTTCTGCTTAATTCGTCATATGGCTCATTGTGCGTCGGTAACTATGTTTAACTGCGAATTAGGGCCGGTTGTTCAATGACTGGTTATCACCATGATAAAAACATTACAAGTAGTCTGTTCGTCAGGCAGATAATTACCACAAATTATCAGGTTTTGGCGTTTGCGTACGCAAAAAACTTGCCAAGTAGGGGAAATTGAGAGCGCATAGTGACAGTTGATTTGGAGCGGAAGTTCCTTATTCCTGCTGGAAACATTAGGTTTGTTCGTCGAGCAAAAAATTTGTACGAATTTGTACGAATTATCACGATTTTTGCCCAAATCGCGTTCGTGCAGACCAAAAAATTATCCAACACTCAAAAATTGTGAGAGCAAAGTGACAGTTCTCTTGGAGAGAAGTTGCAAATTCTTGCTGGAAAAAATTTTGCCAGCAAGAATTTGCAAACACGAAAACATGTGGTTGTGGCGCATGGTTGCATTTTTGTCTACAATAATTTGAATAAATTAGTTCGTTAAATTTAAAAATTTATAAACACGAGCGATTTTTTTATGAAAAAAGGAAGTAAATAATTGTTGATATAATTAATTTAGTTAATTCCAATGATTTGAACTTAATTCGGCTGAAAAAAATGGTATTCGCAATCGGAATGCAATTGCAACCAGAGTCGATTTAAGAAACCCGACAGCTAGTACGATGAAGAAATTGAAATGTATGTTAAAGAAAGTCAGAACAACAAGAAATATACATGTATATCCTGTTTTTGGCCATCCGAAAGAATTTTAAAAATTCTATAAAAATTTTTTATGTTTGAAATGCAACCGTGGACGCCAGCTGGCAGCGAAACTTGCAAATTCCTGCAAATTTGCGTTCGTGCAGAAATTTGCAAGTTTCTCAACATGAGAGAGAATTAGAGAGAATTTTTTCTTACTCTCTGATATTTTGAGTGTTGGATAATTCTTGCTGGATTTTCGACGAACAAACCTATTTTTACCAGCAGCATTTTGCCAGCAAGAAAAGCAGCTGATCAAAAACATCTGTTTGCAATTTATGAAATTTATTTTGATGATTTTTCAGTTTAAATTGCCTTGCACGTCTAGCAAATATCGCGGAATAAAGGAAATACTTATTTACTTACGTTTTCTTAGGAAATAACATTAGGCAAACCTTAAATTTATATTATTTTCGTGTTTTCCGGGGTTCTTCTTAATATCAAAATTATGTGTTTCTTGTAATATGAATTCGCCTTGTTTACAACAAACCCATCATTTTGGCATAAGGAAGTACCGCGGCGAAAATCTAAATTCGCCAGTAACACCACCTTGTATAACTTCGCCTTGCCTTGTGCGAATTACCTCATATGTTGGTAACAAATTCGCTGCCGTCTCTAATTTTTATCGGAAATTTATCGAAACCAGTTTTTCTGAGTACGAAAAGTAAAGTTTATACATGTGTAAATCTACAATTTAATACGGAAACCTACAAATATTTAGCAATAACTTAATTTTTTCAATTTTGTCAAATCGAATGCCCGTGGGAATGGGGTAATTCGCTATTGTAATTAGGGAAGCGAACAGTAATTCAGAGTGTCGTAGGAAAATAGTATAAGAATCCGAACGTTCAAAAGCTTAATTCGGGCACAAATTAGTTATAATGCTTTTAAATATAATTAATGAGGCAATTTTTAAAGAAAGTGTGTTTGCTTACATTTTTTTGTAATATTTGCCATAAATTAGATTTTAGCTAAAACTTTGGACATATATATATACTATTTATAAATCTATCATGTTTCCTATTGAATGACATCAAAATTTTTAGAATTCGTGCAACGGTTTTCGAAATATTTGGATTTGAAAAAAGCGCTGCATTCGTCGCCTGCGTAAAAGAATGTCGTATGTTACGCATGTACGTATGACGCTTACGACAATCTTTTACCCATGCGACGATTTGAGCTTTCGTAACTACCGTAGTTGTCATTAGCGCCCCAAAAAAATTATACCGTTATACTTGTCTCAAAAACTTCTATCGAACTTATTTTTTTATTTTTTTTTCCCCACTGTTCGAATTCTTAGTTTGTTCCGCGCTTTTTTATCAAAATTAAAAAAAAAAATTACAGAAGCATATCTGACACATGAACGAGCCACAAATATCTGACATAGCCTTTACCAAAGCAGCCCTGAGTGTGTTTTCCATTTTCTATGATCCAACAACGTGTTGTCGCACAAAAGAGAATGTCAATTTTTGACAAGTTGTCAGATTTTATTTAAAAGCAAACTCAGAAACAATCGGAAGGAACTATTGGAATTTTGGCCATTTGCACTTTTATTATCAATTAAAAGTTAAAAATAAAACACTATTGTGACTATAACACGACGCGCTTACAACAGAAAACTGTGATACGTAGTGAACGCGACGTATACAAGCTACAGAAATCTTTTTTGAAAATTGGAACAGAGATCTACGGACTAGTTGCTGGCAGTGGTAGCGGTAGCCGCTCTAACTGCAAAGCATTCATAACACAACAAGCAATTAAAAAGTCTGTTGGAGCACCAATCACTTGGCGCACCACTCAAAAATCCCAACGAATTATCGTCGGAAACCTTAAAACTTCCATTAACACTGTTCGATCAAGACATGGACAAAATGCCAGCCAAACAATACGAATCGTAAGTTTTGCAATCCGTGACAGCTAGGCAAAAGTAATGTTAACAAGAGCGGACTACAACTATTGAGCATATGGGACTCCATAGTGCCGCTTTTATTATTGTTTGCAATTTAGTCCGGTGATGCTAGTAGTAGTCATCCGTGTTGTTCATTGCAGTGACGACTGTAAACAAATGCTCGCGTGTTAGTGTTTAGGTTATGTTTTCGTAGAGCTACGTTGACACCAATTCCGGCGCAGCCACAAATGTTTTGGGAAAATTACATTGACCTTATTCGCATTAATTGCTCAAAAATTGTTGAAAAATATTGCATTATTTTCATCCTTAAACTACATGCATATGCATATGCATGCGATACCAGCTCAATAGATAATAGTTGCGTTGCAGATGCTTCACGATATTCACGATTTGCAAGAACAGCTGTTTTCTTCATTAATAAACCTTATGGAAGGTGGTCACCTGGAACGTCTTCCTGTAAAAACCAGCAAATCGTGAAGCATCTGGAACGCAACTAATGATGTTCAAAATGTTTTCTACAAGCAATGATTTTGAGTTAACACAGATACTTTCTTAATACTACATACATAAAATCGGAGTCAATTCACAGAAAAAGTTTGACATCATATCGACGCCTCCAAACCATGCTATGCAAAGTAGGACTAAGCCTAAGATTATTTAGCATAGTAAGGTTTAGAGGTGTCTATATAGCCAAGGACTGATGCTCCAATTGCACTAAGTATAAAATTACTTTAAAGACATTACCACTGTAATTCAGTGTAAGTGTATTTAAAGGGAAAAGCAAAGTATATGAAATCCCTATATGTAAACACATACATATGTACAAGTATTTTTAAAAGTTCATATGTACATACTTCCCGCAAACCCATTATTCACGTTCGCATTTTTTTTCAGGAAACCATGGCAAGATCTCGCTGACAGCGATGACAGTGATATGGAGAATGAAATAGATGTGGACAAACTGCCACCTTTAGAAGTTGGGCCTAATGAGAACCGACTGCAGCACACATACTGCCTTTGGTTCTCACGCAAGGGGACACATCGTGCCACGGATTATAGCAAATCACTTCATGTTGTCGGGCGTTGTGCCAGTGTACAACAATGGTGGTCGCTATACTCGCATCTTATACGGCCAACGGCATTGAAACCATATCGAGAATTAAGCCTTTTTAAACAGGGCATAAAGCCGATGTGGGAGGATCCAGCAAACACAAAAGGCGGCCAGTGGGTAATACGTTTACGGAAGAATAAAATTGATCGAGCGTGGGAAAATGTGTGTATGGCAATGTTGGGGGAACAGTTTCTGGTCGGAGATGAAATTTGTGGTGTTGTACTGACAACAAAATATCCGGTAAGTACAGCAATTTTCAATTATTATCGAACCCCCGACGATCTTGGACTGATATGCAGAATCCCAATATAAGCATGCAAAAAGTGCGTCGTTGTGATAACATAAGCAACATAGTGCGTACATGCATACAAAAAAAAGGTCAACAAAATAAAATGAAATGCGAATTTATAAATAAACGCAGTGCGTAATGATGCTGTAATGTGAATCCTTTCTACGAAAATGCAGATAATGTTCTCAATTAAATGATATTGAAAAAAATTCTAACATTTCATAAACTAGCACGGTTTACATTAAGGAGCTATTAGACGTGGCAAGTACAAGTTTCCAAAAGAAATTGGAGGAGCAGTTACAGCTTGCATGTAAAGTGACTTTCGAAGGCACTTTTTATTTCTGAAAATCAAACTTTCCGCTACTACTTTTTGTCTGTTTACACGGTGAATGTTTTTATGCTTATAACAAAATTAATGCCCTTTAAAATTTGCCAAACCTGCTAAATTGTGCACAAAACAGTCACCAAATATATAATACATGAATACTTACATACTCCATATCAGTAAAATAAATGAATTACACATATTTTTCATATATTATTCAACATTTTTATAATTTTATACACTTGACGCAAAATTAAAATTGCTAGTGCAGTACGAGCAAGTTGAAATTATTTCTCGAAAGGAATTTGCATAATTTCAATTGCAGTTACATCTTGCAATTTTTATTTCCGAAAGTGATTTCTGCAAATCAGCAATAAGGACACTGGCTGTTTACAAGTGAAAGTACACTTTCGATTTCGCATTTTGACAGCAAAACGCGTAGAAAAAGCGCTTGCATTGCCACGTTTAACCGCATCTTTAGATAGGACATACGCCAAAGTATTTTGAAATGAGCTTTTAATTTAAATATTTAAATTATATTGCAATTTTAACCTTTAAGTTTGTTTCCATGTAGCGGTTTTGATGGGACGAATTTTTGTCATTTCAATATCTAATAGGCACCATAGACGGTGCGTCTGACACGCGAGTCATCTGTGTACGTGTTGACTCGCCTTTCGACTACACACATACTACGTTTATACGCACGTATTATTTGCAAATAACAATTTGCAAAATGGTGAACTTTGCTGTATAAACGCTGAGTTAATTTTTTATTTGCAAATAACTAAATCACGCAAATACATATTGATTAGTGTGCTATTTGCAAATAAGCGCAAGACGCCGCTATTCTTAGGTTTATTATCTTTTTCGTTGGCCATCTTATAGCTTTTTTATAATCAAGATGTTGCCAATTTTTAACCTTATTTTCTTTTTCGATGGTCATATTAGTGCCTTTTTATAATCATGCAATATTAAAAAAGAAGTTTTTACCATCGAATAAACAGGGAGTTAGGTATTTGCAAATTATTTTTATTTGTACATAGCTTACGTATAAACGTAGTAACAGTTGTGTCCTCAGAGACATGCCAAAGTCATGTCTGTGTAACTGACACATATTTATTTTCCCTAACACACCAAAACCGACTCGCGAGTCAGACGCACCGTGTATGCCGCCTATAAGCATCTCATACACTTTTTATCAGTTTTTGGAGGCTGATGAAATTTTGGATTTCGAAACTTTTTCGAGTTTAAGAGAATACTTCCATTTGTTTGAGATCTTCAATAATGGGCTAAAAATTTGCCCCTAAATTGGTTGTTAACATCACTGTTAGTTACGTTGCACAACGTAACATCACTCTTACCTGACGTAAAGGGAAATGTCAAATGTGATAAAGAGGTTAAAGCAAAAGTGGATAATAAAAAGTGAATAATCCAATACTGTAAACTTTTTGACATGCAGTTTCCAGAAATCGATCAATAATAATTCTTAGCGTTTTTACATCATTTAGTTTAATTTTTTATCCAAAAGGATATAATTTATAAAAATCTAATTAAACTTATGGTCCACTCGCTCTCAGTTCTGCATTGTTTTCGTTGATTAAATTTGTCAAATTTACCTTGACGTATTGGCAATGGGTTGTCAAACGCAGGCAAGCGAAAGAGTGCTAAACGTAATAGTGACAAGCAAGCCAGAAAACGAAAAGAAATACCAGTGGAAGGAAGTGTAAAAACGGATCGCGAAAAATTGTTTAATTAATTGGTAAATAGTGGATGTTTAGAGCTTTAATTGATTTGTAAGAATTTACTTCCTTCATTTTTTAGTGTTACTTTGCCGGAAGCGGCTTTGGTATCCTAATAACAAGAGGAAACAATTTATAAGCGGTGTCCACGGCTGGTCAAAAGGCACTCTGAAAGAGGTGCGTCTGTGTGTAGTGACGCACACCCCACCCCCGTTTAAGTATAAACATAACGCAAACGCACTTGGAATATTACCCACACGAGCTCACGAATTCCACAAACGCGATGCATAGTGGAGAATAATGATTCAATGGAGCAAATATTGATGCAGCCATAGCTTTACACGATGTCGCTCTTGCTACTTTCATTAGATTGTCGAGAGCCAGCAACGCGTTGAGAGCGTTCCCGTGCATCCGTGCGCCAATTATCGAACTGAAAAGAAAATTATTCAACGCTGCCACTGGCCATTTTTAACGTGCATCCCAGTGTTACTAAAAGAAATAAAAAATTCTTCAATAAATCTGAAAGCCAGCACATAAGCTTGAATTTGTCTCCTTTGTCTTCAACAGCCGATATTACCCGCCTTGTCGCGCCCAACGCATAAACGTGAAACCGCGCGCGTACACGTTCGGTTGTAAAAGAGACCCTGAGCAAAAATCGATTTTTCTTTGATTTGCACGTTGCTAAAGTGGGTTTAACATTTATCATACTTATAACAAAAAGGTAAATAAATGATAGTGTGTAGTCTGACGAATACCAGTATCAATAAATAATTTGCAAAAACTATTTCGATTAACTCAAAACATTCCATTATCTTAAAAATACAGATAAAACATCGGAATAATTCGCTGGCAAATGTGAAAATTTAAGTAAAACAAAGAGCAGTCATTGAATAAAGCAAAGCACACAAGAGACGGAAAGCAAAGTGAAAGAAAAATCCGATACACAAAAAACCATCTCCCTACAACCAAAATCCAATTCACTCTCATTCAACGCTGCTTAAGCATTCTAGTAACAATTTGTGCTGATTTTTGCCATCATAACTCTACCCACTTATTGTTATTCGGAAGCTTTTCGTCGATAAGCTACGTTTCCGACGTGTTCGTCCAACAGCGTCATCACCTTCATCATCACCAAAGGCGAACGCAACAGCAGCAAGTAGCAGATACCAACAGTTTTTCTCCCAGCGCGTGTGTTTGGGGTGCAAGGAATAGAACGTGGTCAGTAAAAGTAAAGCATACATTTTTGTGCTTGACAAGTGCAAAAGTTGCAGATACGAATTAAGAACACTCGATTTCGAAACCAAATAAATAAATTTAGTGGTTAGTGTGTAAAATTTTTACGATTATTAAACACTCTCAACCACAAAAAAGTCTGTGGATACGAAATTGCCAAGCAAAAGTGAGGCAGAAAGTGAGTCATGCAGCGGTTGCTATTGTCACTTACGCTATCGCTATCGTCGCTGTTAACGTCGCCAAAATTATTTTCAAAAGTAGCTGTGGATATCGCAGTAAATTGAATTTGTTGACCGTGAGCGTTGCCTTCAGCGCTCCGTTTGCCATTACGCACGCTAAAACCAGCCGCTCCGCCCCTAATCGCATCGTGGTATAAACGTGTGAACGAAGATATTTAGAGATAAATTTGTTACAGACGACTCGTAAATATATTAAATAACAAAAACAAAGTGCTTCATGGGAAAATTTATTAGAAGTGCCAATATCCTAAATTAAAAATTATAATTTTCGAAGATACGCCTCGAAATCGACGATAATCAAGACGGGGGTACGGGCGTTTGTCCAAACGTTTGCATTTCGCAAGGAAAAATCGATAATCGCTAGTCACGAGCGACAACTACCGCGCGCGTCCACCCGCCACCGCAACCGAAAATACAGGCTTAGAAAGTGTTGCACACACGCGGTGCGCTGGGAGGCCGACAAAATTCTACAGTGAAAAGGCCGAAAAGAATAATCGCGTGAAAGAAAAAATAAATAAAAAATATATTGTGCTGGTGTCAAGTTTATCCAAAGAGATCGAATTTGGGAAATTCAACTATGTAAATGAAATTGCATAAAAAAGTGATAACCGAAACTAGCGTCTTAGAGGAGCATTGACTGCCAAAAAAATACATATAAATTAATAAGTTTTTATCGCCTTGAAATTGAAGCACTCGTTCCCCTTGTCCCTTAAAAAATAATCACCGTAAAGTTGAGCTCAACAAAGTCAACGAACGACGTGAGCAAACGTCAACGAAAGCCAGTTTGCTTATAAAAGATAATTAGAATAAAAATTAAGTAAAACTTGGAATAAATACCGGCAGTGTAGTGTTCCAGTTTAACGAGAAATTTTACCACTGTGAAACAAACTTTATAAATTTAAAGGCAAACAACCTTCAACGCCTTTGTAGTAAAAACCATCTGCAAAATGACAAAAGACAGATTAGCCGCACTTCACGCCGCTCAATCCGATGACGAGGAGTCTGAGGAAGTGGCGGTCAACGTGGATGCCCATGATTCCTACATGGATGAGTTCTTCAAGCAGGTGGAGGAGATACGTGGCATGATCGATCGGGTGCAAGACAATGTCGAAGAAGTTAAAAAGAAGCACTCGGCTATTCTATCCGCCCCTCAATCTGATGAGAAAACCAAACAGGAGCTGGAAGATTTAATGGCCGACATTAAGAAGAATGCGAATCGCGTCCGTGGAAAACTAAAAAGCATCGAACAAAATATCGAGCAAGAGGAGCAGCAAAACAAATCGTCCGCCGATTTGCGTATACGCAAAACACAGCATTCAACGCTTTCACGAAAATTCGTCGAGGTGATGACAGAATACAATCGCACGCAGACGGATTACAGAGAGCGCTGCAAAGGCAGAATACAACGTCAGTTGGAGATTACCGGCCGTGCAACGACCAGTGAAGAGCTGGAAGACATGCTGGAGCAGGGCAACCCAGCCGTATTCACGCAGGGCATTATAATGGAGACGCAACAGGCCAAACAAACTCTGGCCGATATAGAGGCTCGTCACGCTGATATTATGAAGTTGGAGACATCGATCAAAGAGCTGCACGACATGTTTATGGATATGGCTATGTTGGTGGAGTCGCAGGGCGAAATGATCGATCGCATTGAATATCATGTGGAGCATGCTATGGACTACGTGCAGACGGCAACTCAAGATACAAAGAAAGCGCTCAAATACCAGAGCAAGGCGCGCCGAAAGAAGATCATGATCCTGTTATGTTTGACTGTGTTGGGTCTCATAGTTGCTTCATATGTTGGCACAACTTTCATGTAAATGCAATTACATTATTACTATTACATACATGTTTATTATTTATTACATACATACATATAGTTACAAAGAAAAGTATAGCAACAAAGTAATAACAATTATTATAACTAGTTATTATATAGCTCTTGTGTCGCGCGCTCCAAGTAAAAAATATTCAAAATATGTTGCTAAATGTCACAACAACAAAACTCAGCATCAGTCTGCTCTGATCGGCTGCTGCTGAGTTGCGAGCGATTTAGAAAGCGATTAGAGTATCTAAATACAAATGCCATGCGGCCGTAAATGCTGCCAATTTGTAAGCTGCTTTTGCG